AGGAATGGCCTCCAACCTACTAGCGATGGCCTCCAACCTACTAGCGATTACTAGGAATGGCCTCCAACCCAATAGGAATGGCCTCCAAGCTTAGAGCGATGGCCTCCACCCCGGGCATCTGATAACATCGCAGACCGAATCTCTTGGATTCGAACAGGGCATGGCCACAGCACAGCAACACACTTTCCACCGACGACCTCAGCTTCGGATGAAGATTGGCCTTCGATATGGGGGGTGTCTCACCAGCTTTGCATCGCCAAAAATGCGGGGCAACGAAATGGTCGGGCTGCCGCGCACTGCCGGGGTCAGCACCATGACCAGGAAAAGTGCCTCAGCGGCAAACACCACTCTCAAGCTCTCTGCACATACACGGCATCCACAACTAGTAGATTGGAGGCCATCGCTAGTAGGTTGGAGGCCATCGCCTTAATCTTCAGGTAACAAGTACGTTTATAGCGTGGAAGGATTGAAAATGCTCTTGAGAGTTTGGGTGAACGCCACAAGAAATCTTCCCTTTGCGCAGGATGCATCATCCTACACAGCTCAATCTGGCAACAGTGATATTAACATGCAAGCAGTCTGAGTGTCTAGAGTCTTTACTAAGCAAACTCTACTTCAACATGGGGTAGTCGGGTAGTTTCGCCTCTTCTCTTCCCGAGCACCCAACCACCATGTTCACGATCTTTAGCTGAGAAAGTGGGTTCCCCCACTGGTGGCTCGACGCGGAAGATGTTTTGAGATGCGGAGCTTCAGCGGAGAAGGGCTCCAACCTACTAGCACCTACTAGCAATGACCTCCAACCTACTAGGAATGGCCTCCAACCCAATAGGAATGACCTCCAACCTACTAGGAATGACCTCCAACCTACTAGGAATGCAACCTACTAGCGATGGCCAACCTAATAGAGCTAATAGGAATGGCCTCCAACCTACTAGGAATGGCCTCCAACCTAATAGGAATGGCCTCCAACCTAATAGGAATGGCCTTCAACCTAATAGGAATGGCCTCCAACCTAATAGGAATGGCCTCCAACCTAACAGGAATGGCCTCCAACTCGGCGTCCGAGCCCATAAAAAGGGCCGGAAGATCGAGCGCAACTTGCCCATGAGGTAGACCACACAGGCAACTCGACACATGGCTGACGATCTGTTGACCACGCACTATAATGTATTAGGCTGACGGGTTAGGCAGGTCCAAGTGTCCAAGTGTCCAAGTGTCCTCCCAAGTGTACTTCATGGTATATGCTTCACACCCATCTCCTCAGGCACTCAGAGATGACAAGTGACATCTATAGAGTCCATCCGTCCATCTGTCGTTCCGGACAGCACACCATCACAAGGGCCTTGGAAGTGGGGCCATCGTCGGGTTTGTGAAACTTGTTTCACAAAGCAAAGGTCTTCAAAAATGTTACATCTTGCAAGAAAAATTGCAGTTGAGTCAGGAAATGCTACGGAGACAAGCAAAGCATAGAAAAGCCATGTGTCCATCACGACATCTAGAATCTACATGCGTCATTAAAGAAATCCATCCTTGCAGCTGAGCAACCAGAAAGCTGAAATGTGCTCGAAAGTCATCACTGCTGAACCTGCCACTGGCTGATGCACGCCGTGTTCTCTACGAAGGAGCCGTGATTACCAGTGTCTTCATATGCTCAGGCTTTCTTGGGTGCCAAGGCTTCCAAGGTCACTACTTTTTGCCACGCCGTTGCACAAGCCTCAGACAAGGATCCACAAGTCAACTAATGTGTCACCAGGCAGAAAGGCAAACTATGGGAGTAGTACTGCCTCAGGAAGAATCAAAAAGCATCTCCAAGACCAAAAGCCAAGTACAATTACCTTCAGCTTCCTACCACAATGAGCCTTTGAACCTTTCCAAGTTAGATCGGTGCCCTTCTTGGGATCCCACGGCATCGCACTAGAACCTCAGCGTTGAGAACGAATCCCAAGAATGTTGGTGCGAAACCACCAAAACCGCCTCGCTAGTGGTAACAGGTGCCTTACTAGTAGTAACAAGAAGCTACTAGGAACAAGTGCATCGCTACTAGTAACAAGTGCCTT